CTGGAGGGTCACAGAGCCCCCAGCCCCCAGGATGGACACAGATCCCCCAGCCCCCAGGAGGGACACAGAGCCCCCAGCCCCCAGGAGGGACTCAGAGCCCCCCAGCCACCAGGAGGGACACAGAGCCCCCCAGCCACCAGCCACCGGGAGGGACACAGAGCCCCCAGCCCCCAGCCACCAGGAGGGACACAGAGCCCCCAGCCCCCGGAAGGAACACAGAGCCCCCAGCCCCCGGGAGGGACACAGAGCCCCCAGCCCCCAGGAGGGACACAGAGCCCCCAGCCTCTGGGAGGGACACAGAGCCCCCCAGCCACCAGCCACCGGGAGGGACACAGAGCCCCCCAGCCACCAGCCACCGGGAGGGACACAGAGCCCCCAGCCCCCGGGAGGGACACAGAGCCCCCAGCCCCCAGGAGGGCATAGAGCCCCCAGCCACCAGCCACCGGGAGTGAACAAGACTGTAAAGGGGCATCGATTACTCCTGGAATAATTGGTTACAAGAAACTAGTAACAGTGGTTGCCCCCGGGGAGCAGGCTGAGAGGGAGACTTCTCTATTAGTAAATACACTTTTGTATCTTTTGCATTTAAATATTCAAACATTAAATATTCAATATTGCATTTAAATATTGCATTTAAATATTCAAACATTAAATATTCAAAAAAATCAAAGTTCCCACGACTGTCGGCTTCCAGAGTGCAGAGACTGTTTTAACTTCTCCGTCATGCTGCCCACCTCCCTGGGGGAACACAACCCCAGGCCCAGGAAGAGAGCAGGTCCCTGCTGTCGGGGACTCAGCATCCCCGGGGCCTGGGGCGCAGCAAGGCTTCATCTCCGCAGGTATAGCCGTGCACCATGGGTTTCCATGGCTCCACAACACAACTGCTGTGACCTTGGGCCTCTTAAACCTCTCTTGGCCTCAGTGGTCCCATCTGTGGAATGGGATCATAATGGTGCCTGCCTCATGGGGTTGGGGACAGAATTGAGGTAACAGGTGAGCCCAGGGCCCAGAGCTAAGTGCTCAGTAAAGGTGATAAATCTAATCGTGAGTATTTCTGGCTTTATTGCCTGGGGGAAGGCAGGCTTTCTCACCACCACTTTGCAAATGATGAAAGCGGGGCCCGAGCCGCCCGGCCTGGGGTCCAGCGGGTCCAGGAGCAGAGGCGGAAGTAAAGCAGACTCCCTGTCTCTGGGCCTGGTCCTCCGCCACCTTTCCTCCGAAGGGTGGGCTTGCTGGCCGCAGGCAGATGCTGGGACTTGGCTGCAGGTGCAGCTCCTACAGGCGTCCTGACCTTGTCTCAGGAGGGGGCCAAGGAGGCACTTCCCGGAGGCTCACACTCCTCACATCTGCGAGGACTTCTCACAGCGGTGCCTGTCACGGCCGAGTTATTAATACTCCCCTCTGCTGGGCTCCCGGCTGAGGATGTGACCAGGCTGGGCAGCGCTGCGCACGATGGACCCTCTAAACGACCTTCAGTCCAGACGGGGCGTGGCCGGCTGGCTCCTAGCACAGCAGTGCCGATCGCTGTGTGCGGGACCCTGGCCCAGAGAGCCCCAGAGGCCCTGAAATCCCCAGCCCGCTCATCCTTCCTCAGGGGCCTCCCCCCATCGGCTACTGCTCTGAGGCACAGTGCCCGCCCTCAGGAAGTGGCAGGCGTGTTCTGCCTGGTTTGTGCATTTGCTTCCCGGGTGCAGAGTGAGGCTTCAGAGCTGCCTGCATGGCTGGAGCCTGGCTGGGCAGGCGGGGCTGCTGGGGAGGCCTTGGGGTGAGGAGGCCAGGCCTGGTGGCTGGGGAGGGGGGGGCGGGCTGTGCCTGAGACCACAGCCCAAGCCTTTCCCAGCTCTGCTCTCAGACCGAAGAGGTGAGCCCACCTGGGAGCCTGTTCTGGGACCTGAGAAAAGAAGTTGGCGAGAGGCATTGAGATACAGGGGGAAATCGGAGATCGGCCCAGGCCCCGAGCGGTCACCGGTTTGATCCCCAGTCGGGGCACATGCCCGGGTTGTCGGCTCGATTCCCCAGGAGGGGGCCTGCAGGAGGCAGCCAATCCATGTTTCTCGCTCTCGCTCTCGCTCTCATTGATGTTTCTCTCTCTCCTTCTCTCTTCCTCTTTCTTTAAAATCAATAAAAATATATTTTAAAAAAAGAAAAGAAATCAACTCAACCAAGTCTGAGTTGATGTCACAGTTGCTTGGCAAACCCAGTCCTGCTTGCGACTTTGACGGAGGTCAGACGGAGGAAGAGAAAAACCGAGGTGGTCCGACACCCCCCTGGCCAGGTTGGCCTGCGGGGCAGCCTTCGCCAGCTGTCCTGTCCCTGGGGAGAGAAGGCAGAGGCTCTTCTGTCACCAGAGGGACAGCAGGTTGTAAGGTTCACTTAGAGCCACTCCTGGAAGGAACCTGGGCCCCGTCCCTCACACTGTCTCCTGGGCCAGGCCCCGCACTAACCAGGCTGCCCAGCTGAGCAGCCCAACTCGCTGACACGCCCTGGCGGCGCCCCAGCAGCCCCCCACGTCCCCCTCCCGCGCTGGGCAGGCCTGAGGGGTTCTAAGCCCTGGACGGCAGCTCACAGTGCAGCGTGGGAAGGATGTGATGCTGGCGGTAATGCAGCCCCTGTGTGGGCCGGGCAGTGTTGCAGGTGCTTTATGTAGATGAGCCGTTAAGCCTCACAACCACCCGGGACGCAGTGTCATCAGCCCGTTTCACAGACGAGGAAAATGAGGCACAGAGAGGTTAAGTGACTTGCCCATGTGCACCAGCTAGTGTGGGGAAGCGGGGATTTGAACATTAGCCCAGAGCCTGCTCCCCCCCATGCCGAGGGGCGGCTGAGGCTACTGTGTATCTACTTTGAGAGTCAGGAACGGAGCAATGGTTGTCTGCTGGGCAGTCACCCCACCCTGTACTTTTCAAAAAGCTGGACTGGACATCGGGGGAAACTGAGGCTCTTTCTCTCAAGGGTGCTCTTAGCGTGTATCTAGGTGACGTCTCCTCAGACTCTGAGCTGTGGGCTGCGGCTCACAGGTTGGTAAGCAGGGGTGGCGGGAGGGCAGAGGGCATGGTGGCAGCACGGAGCACCTGCTGGGCTGGCAGGTGGGCTCTGCTGCCCAGGGAGGTGCCCGTGGCCTCCCCGTGGCCTCCCCGTGGCCTCCCCGTGTCATGAAGCTGACCTTGGATTCCCAAGAAGCTGGGGTTTCCCATCTGTCTGGGGTGCAGCCTCTGCTCTGGGACAAAACCAGGGAAGGCCTCCGTTCTCATTCCTCCTCGGAGTCCCAGGAACTAATTCACCCGCAGACCTCTCTCGGCCGGGCCTTCCTTCTGCCACGCAGGCACTTGTCATTGGCGCGGCCTTGGCCTGGGCTCAGCCTCTGGGCCAGGGTCTGAGTCCTGATAGCACTGGGCAAGGAGCAGGAGCCCAGGTCTGTCCCGGGGTCCCACCAGCTGGCCCTGGACGCACTGGTTTCCCTCCCACCGCCATGGCCTGGTCATGATGCTCCATGGAGGCCTCGTCCCCGTGTCCCCACCACACGCTTGTCACTGCGTGCGTGACTCTCAGCTGACTCATCCTGGTGCTGGGAGGGCATTGCTCCGTTCCTGACAACCATTGCTCCGTTTCTGACGCAGAACTCACTACGGCCCTCTGACTCGGACCGAACACCCCACGCCTCCTCCCCCAGCCCAAGCCGCTGCCCAGCGTCCTTTCTAGAGTTCCTTGGGGAGGGACAAGAGGGCGTTAGGATAAAGGAGGAAGAGAGGGAGGAGGCGAGATGCCCGCAGCTGGAGAGCTCAGCTTAAAGCCCCCGCTCCCCGGAGAAGTGGACGGGTGGCTCCGGTCGGTGCCCTCCTGCCCTGTCACTGGGTCGTCCTGAAGGACATACCGGGCCTCACTCCAGGAGGGTCGGGGCCCATTTCTCTGGCCGCCCTTGAGCTGCCATGGAAGGGCCTGGGCCTGAGTGACAGCCAGCCCGCGCTGGGTCGCAAGGCCCGCCATGGTCTGAAAGGAGGTCGCGGGCTGCATGGCCTGCGGTTGTGCTTGGCTGCCAGAGTGGGGACAAGTGACAACAGCAGGGGTGCACCCATCACGCTGAGCTGGTGAGTGTCGTCTGGCACTTCCTTTCCTGAGCGCCTGCCTGCACCTAACCCTGACCCACACGCTGAACTCGAGGTCATTGAACATTACAGGTTTTTGTTTAAATCCTCACCTGAGGATATTTTTTTCTATTGGTTTTGAGAGAGAGAGAGAGAGAGAGAGAGAGAGAGAGAGAAGGAGTGAGGAGAGAGAGAGGGGAGAGAGAGAAACATTGATGTGAGAGACACATCGATCGGTTCCCCTCCACATGCATCCTGACTGGGGCCAGGGATCGAACCTACAATCCAGGGACATGCCCTTGGCCAGGAATCGAACCCAAAAGCCATAGGTGTGCAAGCCAACGCTCCAACCACTGAGCAACACTGGCCAGGGCTACAGAAGGTGTATCTGCTTCAAACTTGCCACTCGCATTTTAGGGAAGAGGGCAGGAGGAGCCACAGAGCACACTGGTCAGGGTTTAGACTTGGACTGACGTGGTCATGGGCTGTTCGCATCGGCCTGTCAGCTCTGGAGACAAGTCGCTGACCGCGGTCACCGTCGGGCTGCTCACCGCTGTCCCGGCGCTCCGAGGGGAACATGGTGCGATTGCACTTCCTCTCTCTCTGAAGGTTAGTGTGGCCACATGACTGGCTCCTGCTGACCTCTTCCCTAAACCGGTCACTCTCACTGGGAGCG